AACTTTCCGTTAACTGTTGGCCAGTGAAAAGGGTGCCTGTCTGCTTCCTCACTCCTCCCAGCGTTTAGAGAGTGGATTGGGAGACAGTCTTCGGACTGCCTGGTACTGTACTGCCTGGACTGTATTTTCCTTGCCTTCCCTGAACCTTTCTTGACCTAAGAAAAAAAGAAACAAAATATCCCCCTCTAGTGGTTGAAGGCAAAATAGCAGCTTCCCATTAGTTTCTATGGACGGAAAAGAGCAGATACGGATCAAATGGTTTTCAATGCATTCCTATGGGAAATGCAGATTTGACCTGAGAACTTTTTGACTTGAGAACCGCCTTCCAATACGGATTAAGTTCTCAAGTCAAGACCCCACTGTACAGTGCAATTTAATGAAGTCTTCCAGCCATGTGGGAGGGAGGGAGTGGAGAGGAGAGCAGAAAATCATTTTAAGGCTTTACTCAAATCTTATTCTAACTTGTGCATGTAGTGCTACATTCTGGCGATACCCATTCACGGCATCTGGATCTAAAGACCATGTTGCTCAGCTGAGGGAGGAACAAAGCCTAGCAGCACCTTAGAAACTATCAAAGTTCTGACATAAGTATTCATCAACTTCAGCTGATTTCATTAGGTACCCAGAGTATTGTCTCATTTGGCAGGCAGTAATTCATGCATCATTCCTGTAGCATGTTTCTTCTTGTTTGTAACCACCTTGAGGGCAGGAGGTAATGTGAAGAAATAAATTAAATCATTTCACAAAGCCAGAAACATGATTCCAGAGTAACTGGTTACAAAGAACACTTACTGGAATCCATTGGCTGGAGAGTAATAGTGTGCCTCTGCAGGATCCCATTGATTCTGGCAGAATTAGAAACACACCTTTCTTTCTACAGCTCTCTGTCACTGTATGCTGGGAATTCTTCTTCTTGAGCATTTTTGGGCACTGTAGAGAGCTGTAAAATGAGGAAGGGAAGAGAATCCCAATTGCATTGGTGCAATTTGCTGAAATCCAAAGACTACAGTGGTACCTCGACTTAAGAACTTAATCCGTATTGAGACTGCGTTTCTTAAGTCGAAACGTTCTTAAGTCAAAGCACCATTTCCCATAGGAATGCATTGAAAACCATTTAATCTGTATCTGCTGGTTTTCATTCTTAAGTCGAGGCGCTGTTCTTACGTCGAAGCATTAGTTCCCATAGGAACTAATGCAAAGCCTGTTAATCCATATCTACCACTAGGGGGTGAATTTTTTTCTTCTTCTTTTGACCTAAGGTGAACTTAAGTCAAAAAAAAAAGGACAGGAAAGGGTTTTATTTTTGTTGTTGTTGTTGTCCTTAAGTCAAGGCTCCGTTCTAAAGTCGAAGCAACTTTTTGCGAACTGAGCCATTCTTAACTTGAATCGTTCTTATGTAGGGATGTTCTCAAGTCAAGGTAACACTGTATTGGATCTTGGCCAGCAGATCCAAGAATCAAGAGTTTCAGATGAATGACCAATGAACACCATAAGCCAGCTATCCTCATTCCTCAGAAATGTACAAAAATGTTTTGCTGTAAAAGCACTGGAAGTACATAGATTAACAACAGCTTTGAAACTGAATAGATAGCCATGAGGTTGAAATTGAAAAAGATCTGGAGTCCTTGATGTATCATGGCACATGCCAACCCATGTCACTAAACTTCTTTGTTTTCAATGACTACAGGATGGAACCCGACCCCCAATTGACACAGATGTGAACTTGGAAGAAATTGCCCATGATCCTTACTGTGATTGTTACACGTGAGTAGGTTTCCCCTTGTTATCTTCAATCATCTTCTTTAAGTGTTGGTTGTTCTTACTTTGTTTTCTTCTGTGACTTTGCTTTTTCAAAAACAGAAACCCAAGTACATTGCTCCAGATGTTCCTTTTTCTATCCTTTTCACAGTACAGTGGGGTCTCTACTTAAGAACTTAATCCATCTTGGAAGGTGGTTCTCAAGTGGAAAAGTTCTTATGTAGAATCTGCATTTCCCATAGGAATGCATTGAAAACCATTTAATCTGTATCTGCTCTTTTCCGTCCATAGAAACTAATGGGAAGCTGCTATTCCGCCTTCTACCACTAGAGGGAGACATTTTTTTCTTTTTTTCCCCCTTAGGTCAGGGAACAGTGTTAAAAGCATTTCTGACGAAGCTAATTTTGAAGCAATGGACTGAAAACCAATTAATCTGTTCTGGCTGTTTTTTTGTTATGTAGAGGTGTGTTAATACGTACTCTACCACTAGGGGGAGAACTTTTTTTTAACCTAAGATGACCTAAGGTTAAAAAAAGAGCAGGAAAGTTTATTTTTCCTGTTCTTATCTTGGATTTTTGTTCTCAAGTACAAGCAAAATTTAGCAAATGGAGCTGTTCTTAAGTGGAATTGTTCTTAAGTAGGGACGTTCTTAAGTAGAGACCCCACTGTACATCTCCATGAGTTTCACTAATGCTCCATATTTCTTTCTGCTTTGTGCAACAGGTATGCTCATACCTTGAGAAGCCTGATTTGCTCAAGTGACATATGTCTTAGTTATGTCCCATTTGGATTACTGTAATGTGCTCAACGTGGGTCTTCCTTTGGAAAGTGTGTGGAAACATCAGCAGGTCCAGGATACTGTAGTTAGATTCTTGACTAGAGCTAGTTACAGGGAGAATAAAAGCTCCTTAACAGCAAACTTAAGACTTGGTTCTTTAGGCAGGCTTTCCCTCCCATCATCACTTGAATATTTTCTCCCATCTTGAACCACATTGCTACTGTTTTTTATTCTATTCTGTTCTATTCTATTCTATTCTATTCTATTCTATTCTATTCTATTCTATTCTATTTATCTATTTATTTATTTATTAGATTTTTATCCCGCCTTTCTAGACGATGTCTACTCAGAGCGGGTCACAATAAAATAATTCATAAAACAGTTAAAAGAATAAATTAAATTGACATATTAGTGTTGATCAAGATGGGAAAATAGACAAAAACTAAGTAAAAGTAAAAATCAAGTATTGACAGGAGGGAAGGCATGCCTAAAGAGCCAAGTCTTTAATTGGCTCTTAAAAACATTCCTTATTAACAGGAATTATATTGACTTAGTTGAGAAACGAGGATCCCACATTTCTCCATAACCTTCCAGGCATTTTAGGAGGGGGTAATGACAGATGAAGGTCAGCTTTTTGGCTGTAGCTAAGGGCACAAGGTTAGTGTCTGTGTCTTTCTGACAACACAAGGAGTTATAAAATTTATGGCTATTAACACTTCAGTTATGTTTTGACCCTCCTTGCTTCACCAGTGCCATTAAGAATGATTAACTCTCAATCTGAGGGAATTAAGGACTCCTCACTGGTAGAGAAAAAAAATGCTGTTGCTTGTCCTACAACTCACCCACCCAACCAACACGTACTGAATCACATGAATGTATGTAGATTCTTAGGATGACTTTTTACAGCCCATCTATGAATGCATTTTTCTCATCATCCCCATGGGCTTGGAAAATCTGTTTTAATACTGTACTTCCCTAAAGCTCCTGGTCAGCATATCTACTAACCATGATTCTAGAGGAACTGTGGGAATTCTAGTCCATAGTGACTTTTAAGCACTCTGGTATGTGCACAAGTTTAGTTTTGGGAGGTCTCATTTAGTTCGTATTTGGATTTGATGACCTTTTGCACACATCAGCCAATTGTGGCAGTGAAGACAATGGCAACAGCCATGATCCTATGGCAACCTGGCTATGTAGAGCACCACCTTATACATTGTCTTGAAGTTCCCCAATGGGGGCTACTCTTATTGAAGTGATGAAGATTGTCACAGGACAGCCTACTAGGGGATAACATTCTCCATCTCTACATGCAAGGCTTACTGATGGCAAGGGAAATATGCATGGTGTTTGAACTGATCATACAGTTGTAATGGTGCAGCAGCAGTATGAGAGCATTTTTGCACGTCTCCTGGTTGATTTACTGTGGGCAACAGTCTGTGTGAACAGAATGTTGGACCCAATAGGCCTGTGCTCTGAGCCAACATACGTAGCTCTTGTATTCTTCTCTAAATTATCCACACCCACTTTGTACTTTGTAGGGATCTAGGAGTATCCAGTCACAAACTTCTTTAACCAATGACTACCAAATAGTAAGTGTAAGACTAGATAGGAGAGGATGTGCCAATGAAAAGGGAAGGGCAGAATCACAGGACACATGAAACCTTTCTCCCTGCCAACTAAGACTGAGGTAGGCCTACTGACATATTGGATACACACTTGATTTGCAATGCCTCTCACCACTAGTCCCTTCTCTGTCTCCTGCAATTAGGAAATGGTTTTATTATATCTATTATTGTTAGCCGCCCAGAGTAGACTTTGGTCTGGATGGGTGGGGTATAAATGTAATAAATAAATAAATACGTAAATAAAATAAACATTACAACAGCTTCTCTGGCTACTAGTTCATTTCTAGGTATGATTCAAAGTGCATTTCTCAAATCTATAAAGCACTAAACCACCCAGAGTAGTGTGAATTTACTAATTGGGTGGTATATAAATTACTGTAAATAAATAAACAATTTGTGCTCACCTAGCTTGCAGGATCATATATCTTCATATCAACCTCCTTTAGTTTCAAGATATTTCTCTTAGTTCTACCACTTTCATGAGCATGCTTGGTGTGGACACAGGAGGGGACCTTTTCAGTGTCTGCTGCCAGGCTCTGGAACTCCTCTTGTTCTTCCACCAGCAGACAAAGACCTTCCTAGGCAGGCTTTTAATATAGAAAGGGTATAGTTGTCCTTTTAGCATTTTAAAATATATTTTGAATTTGTTTTAATGGAATTTGATTTAAGACCTTTTAATAATTAATGTTCGTAATTACTTGTTAAAAGAGTGATTTTTAAAGTATGTTTTAATATTTGTGATTTAAAATCATGTAAGCTGCTTTAAATGGATGCATACATTCTTATGACTGCTGGTTGAAGCTTGTACTAAACAAACAGAATTTGTCTGTTCAGAAAAATGCTGAAACACCTAGTTTTGTATGATGTTAGGATTTAGACCAGTATTAATTCCTTGTGAGACAGCAGAACAAGTCTTATTTTACTCTAGGTAGGAAGAAGTGTTATGTTTTCACATGGGGCTCATTTCCCTGTTCTTCCATCTGTTCTCAGGTCCCCAGCTACTTGAATTCACCAGGGCTGTAGTGTTAGTGTCATTTGCTTTCAGGGTGCTTTGAAATATTTGAATTGCTTGTGGCAATATGAAAATAATTGGTTGAGACATACTAATGTCAGCTGTTTCTAACTTATATTTATGATCAAAGTCTACAGTGTAAATGTAAATAGAGATGGGAACTAACCACTGGTTTGACAGTTGGGCACAATTTGTTTACCAGCCAAATATCTGATCCGCGGTTCAGCACCCCACCCCCTTCAGTGGGCGCCACTGAGAGGCAGTGCCTGGAGGAGGTGGGGCACTGCCATGAGTGGGGGGGCCCAGGAGGGGGCAGGATACCAAACCGCTAATCAACTGTTCAGCTGGTACATGAACCATGCCAAACCAGTGGTTTCTGCCCATCGCTATCAGGAAAGTATTCAATTATGCATTTGAATGGAAAGGACAGGTTAGTAAACCTGAGTTGATAGCTGTTTTTAAAAAAAGATAATTCAAAAAGTATTAGTGAGCTTGTATCTCAAAATGACTGTATTTCTACATCACATCTTTGTAGTGGAGCCGACCTTTCAGCTCTTGTGCGAGAGGCTTCCGTTTGTGCCCTGAAAGAGGAAATGGCAATGTCTAATGCCACCAATAGAAAAGGTAAGGAGGTGGGGAATGAAATACAGTGATCTGAAGGTGGAGTAAGCCTGCAGTTTCTTAGCCAGCTCTTAAACATTAAGAGTGTAATGCATCAATCAACCAAAGCTAGGGAAAAGGTTTGTGTTGAATGATTTTAGTGTGGTTTCAATAGAATAAAACTGAGAGGAGGAGGGCTCACTTGAACGACTCCTAGTCATTGGTATATGCATAAGATTCCAATGTTTGAAGAATGAAGGTCTCGGTCTTTGTCTGTATCTCTGTCTCAGTCTCTACTAGCTGTCTATATATATTACTATACAATTAGAAACGATCCAGTGGGACAAGATGTGTGGAGTCCATGGTGTCCTTTCAAGTGCTGCCATTACAATCAGCTAATTTTTAAAGTATACTATTCTGCTAAGGATTACAGTTTTTAAAAACCTAAACAACAAATCAAGAAGTTTATAAAATAATAACAGCCTTTCAAACTTTATAGACTATGTAGTATATATGTCTTCCATGTAATATTTTAGGTGTACACATACACGCACACAGACAGAGCAACAGATATATGAGGTAGAATTTAAAAACTACTAAAAGCAATTATTGATTTTTATTTGATTTATTATTCTAATTTATTAGTTTATTATTTAGTATTATTTTATTTAGTCTGCAAAAATGAAACCAACCACTGAAACATGTTATAAGTCTACTGTATGTACTATAGTTAAGAGGAATTAACCAAGAACAGTTCAGCAGTTTTACATCCTCAGTGAGTAAGTAGGAAACAGAAGCTCTGCGTCCACCATTTTTCAGAGGAATAGCAAGTAAACAAAAGTATGGTGGCCTTGAAGAGCCTGAAGATGCATTTTAAAACAACTGAGTCAGGACCACAAATTAGATGGCAATGAAGATAGGAACAAAATATTCAAATGCTAGAATGCAGCAGATTTGCCTGGGCACGGCCCTGACTTTCTGTAAAAATCAGGAGACTGAAAGATGGCCATTCTAGACTAAGCAGCCAGTGAGGAAACTACAGTATCTGGAAAAGAATAATTTGAAGGTTGTGCCTGTTAGGCTAGGTAGGAGGGAGCTAGTTGAGGCCGTGGTTTGATTCATGTAAGGCAAATGCATACATCCAAACACCTTATTTATAGATTATTAAGTATATCAATACCTTGCCTTTAGCTAAGCAGGCTCCTGGAGCTGCTTACAATATATAGATAATAAGACAATACCTTTAAGACAAGACATAGGAAGAATAAGGTAAGTGGAAGTAGGAAGGCAAGATGCAGTTAATTGCCTATCATTATTACGAATCTTACAGGGATTGTGGGATTCAGGGCTTCAATTCAAGTGAATGAGCACTAGAAGAAAGAGGCATTTGTGCTGCAGATCTTCGCATAATCCTATCCAGAGGTTCAGGTGATGCATGAAATCTGGGTGCTTTTGCTAGACGGAAGGAAAAAAGTATTCTCTACATCTTGAGATGAGCAATGAGTTTTGAATAGATCTTCTACCTTCTGATTGGTTTCTCTCCCTATCAGTATTAAAACACACATCTCATGACAATGTTTGCTTAATGGTTTTGTGGAATGAGCATCATTGTATGTTATCACAGCAGTATAATTGCCATCTGTGTTTATAGTCTTTGTAGTGAAACCAAGAATCAGTGGGCTATAAGAAGTGTATTACTCTTACCTAGATGCTTTCTAGTAGGTCCTCATATGCAGGATTTTCCTAATACAGTATTAGTATCCCAGATTAATATCCTTTCTTTTCTCTAGAATAAAACCACTCAGTGCTAATGCAAATACTTTAGCAAAAACTGAATTTTAGCATGTCATGAGTTTTACATACAGAGCAAATTCACACAGACTACATTCACTGGAAATTTTAACAAGGCTCCTGAATTAGGCCTTCAAAGGAGCTAGGTGCTCACATAGATGGCAGAATGGAAGAACACATTCATTTTGCCATGCTATTCTGGTATTGTCCTTGGATGAATATATAGACTGTAGCAAAACTTTTCTTATTTCCGTTTCACCACTTACTAGCCCCTATGAACTGCCAATTGCATTTTGCTTTTCTAAAGATTATCCCTTCACGGATTGCTGCCTTGTTGTGGCGAAGGGGCTTGAGTAATTCAGGGAAGCTATGGGCTATGCCATGCAGGGACACCCAAGACAGACAGGTCATAGTGGAGAGTTCTGACTAAACTCAATCCCCCTGGAGCAGGAACTGGCAAGCCACTCCAGTATCTTTGCCAAGAAAACTCCATGGACAGAAACAAAAGACTAAAAAAATGACGCTGGAAGATGAGCCACTCAGGTCGGAAGGCATCCAACATGCTACTGAGGAAGAGTGGAGGACAAGTACAAGTAGCTCCAGAGCTAATAAAGTGGTTGGGCCAAAGCCGAAAGGACGCTCACCTGCGGACCTGCCTGGAAGTGAAAGGAAAGTCCGATGCTGTAAAGGAAAATACTACATAGGCACCTGGAATGTAAGATCTATGAACCTTGGTAATCTGGATGTGGTCAAACAGGAGATGGCAAGAATAAACATTGACATCCTGGGCATCAGTGAACTAAAATGGATGGGAATGGGTGAATTCAATTCAGACAATTATCATATCTGCTATTGTGGGCAAGAATCTTGGAGAAGAAATGGAGTAGCCCTCATAGGCAACAAAAGAGTGGGAAAAGCTGTACTGGGATACAGTCTCAAAAATGATAGAATGATTTCAATATGAATCCAAGGCAGATCTTTCAACATCACAGTAATGCACCAACTACTGATGCTGAAGAGGCTGAAATTGACCAGTTCTGTGAAGACTTACAACACCTTCTAGAACTGACACCAAAGAAAGATGTTCTTCTCATTCTAGGGGACAGGAATGCTAAAGTAGGGAGTCAAGAGATAAAAGGAACAACAGGTACGTGTGGCCTTGGAGTTCAAAACGAAGCAGGGCAAAGACTAATAGAGTTTTGTCAAGAGAACAAGCTGGTCATCACAAACACTCTTTTCCAGCAACACAAGAGGTGACTCTACACATTGACATCACCAGATGGGCAATACTGAAATCAGATTGATTATGTTCTCTGCAGCCAAAGATGGAGAAGATTTATACAGTCAGCAAAAACAAGACCAGGAGCTGATTGTGGCTCTGATCATCAGCTTCTTATAGCAAAACTCAAGCTTAAACTGAAGAAAGTAGGAAAAACCACTAGGCTAGTCAGGTATAGTCTAAACCAAATCCCTTATGAATACACAGTGGAAGTGAAGAACAGATTTACAGAATTAGATTTGGTGGACAGAGTGCCTGAAGAACTATGGATGTAGGCTCGTAACATTGTGCAGGAGACAGCAACAAAAACTATCCCAAAGAAAAGGAAATGCAAGAAAGCAAAGTGGCTGTCCAATGAGGCCTTACAAATAGCAGAGAAGGGAAGCAAAATGCAAGGGAGATAGGAAAAGTTACATAAAATTGAATGCAGACTTCCAAAGCATAGTAAGGAGATGCAAGAGGGTAAGAGGAAAAGGGGACGACAGATGACGAAATGGTTGGACAGTGTCATTGAAGCTACCAACATGAATTTGATCAAACTCCGGGAGGCAGTGGAGGACAGGAGGGCCTAGCGTGCTCTGGTCCGTGGGGTCACAAAGAGTCAGACATGACTTAACGACTAAACAACAACAAAAAGATGGATCACTAATTCTCTCTGACTCATATACTTTCCCATCATTAGTGTTATTTAAGAGTCAGAGCATATTGGGGACAGTTCTGGAACTCTTCAAGCTTTTCATTTGTTTGAGCAGGGCAGATCCAGAATAATGGATTGCTACAGTGTATGAAATCCCACATATACTTACACATCCTAATTTTCCCTCCTCTGATGCATCCAAATCCTTATAAATGCCTGTTTCATCTTAATAAATCTTCTGTTGATATTTGGCTAAGTGATGTATTGTCACCATATTGTATGAACATAGGCTTTTAAAACAGATGTTTAGGATATCAATGCCCAGTTGACCCTGGTTAAACTTGGAGATAAGTGGTCAATGAAATATAAGCAGAATTATCACAAATACTAATTTGTTCAAAGACAATTGATGCTACTGCAGTTGTCTTTTTAATTATGTCAAGTGATTCAGGTTTCATTTAAAGAAATATATTGTGTTCTGCAGTCATGATGAAGCTTCTCATATTCTTAACAGGACAAATCAAGATTGCCAAAAAACACTTTGAAGCAGCTTTTAAGAAAGTTAAATCTTCCGTCTCAAGAAAGGTAAGATGTTATATGTTCTCATTTACTGACTTCACATAAGGATGATAAAAAGCAGTATAATAGGAGACATCAAAAGAATATGCATTAAGGCACGGGTGTCCAACCTTTCATCTTCCCTGGGCTACATTAGAAGATGAAAATTTGGTTTGGGCCACACATAAATTTGGTTTGGGCCGCATGGGGGGGGGCAGCCCTAGCTGTCCTCCGCAGCCCCGCTCCAAGCGTGCTTACCGGCAGCTGTGATCTCAGACAGCAGAGGCTGCCAGCTTCTTGATGGGGATGGCGCAATGAAGTCACGCAGCCCATCTCTCCCCTCCCCTCATGCTTCTTCCTTCCTTCCCTCTCTCCCCCCCTACCATTGTGACGTGCCCCAGCCTCATTCCGGCCCCAAGCACTGGCTTGGAATTTCTTTAAAAATAAAAAATTGTATTGGGCCGCATTATGAGCCACCCTGGGCCGCAGGTTGGACAAGCCTGCATTAAGGTATTTAGCATTGCTACAAGCTCAATATATCCTTAAAAAAAAAAGAACTCTACTGTAAATCATGGGGTCAGATAAACTAGGCTGTTACTGTAGGATAACTTTAATCGACCTGCTTGTCTCCAGATGTTTTGGGCTGCAAGTCTCATCAGTTAATTTGCTGTAGTTGGAAGTCCAAAATATTTGGAAGGCACCAAGCTGATAAGACTGCTGAAAAAAGAGAATTGTACCTGTGTGATTTGATTCTGCCCCTTTGTCCCCTTGTGTGACATCCTGGTGTAAAGATGAATCATGTACTCCAAAGTTCCCTAGTAAAACGTCTTTATTGATTATCATGTTTTTGTAGTCTTTTTCAACAGTAGCATCAGCCTCTTGTTTCCTGGAGGTGGCGCCAAACTTTTCTTTATCTAACTCTAACAAATTCCCCTTCAAAATGAGTAGCGGAGAGTTCCAAACTTGTCCATACCATTTGGGTTCTGAGCCCAGGTTTTCTGATACAGTTCCTCTCAATGTTACTGAGGGGGGTGAAAGATCCAGCCCACCAGCGGCTCCCAAACCCTTTTGCCTGGCGTAGGTCTCAGAATGGGACGAAATGGACTGACCCCACGGGGTCTCCCAGGTTTCTTCATGCCTTGATTGTGTTCCCTCAGTTGAGCCTCCCTTTGCAGCTAGGCCTTGTATTTCTTTCTCTCCTCTCTCTCACCTTCGTTTCCCCTGCAATAGGTGGTTTCCTTTACTTCTGTCTACTCCACTCTTTCTCTGCGTATTCACAAAGAACTCTAAATTCCACCCGTTCCCCTGTTCGGCGGTCCGCCTGTATCAAATCTACTAGGTCTTCCTTTTCTTCTACTTTCTCCATCCAACATGCTTCTTCCTTCTCTGTCTCCACCAACTGCCTTCCTCCTTCCTTCCTATCTTCTCCTCCTGCTGAAATAGCACCCTCTCTCATTTCCTTCCCTACATCCAGTCCTCATAAGTTTTTTATTAGGTCTAACAGCTGTCCCTCGGTGTTCTCTCTTGAAGAGACAGATGGTATACCTTGTGGAACACCTCTGGGGTTGCTCCCAGCCTCACAACCTGGCTATGTGTAATATCTCTATTGTTCAAAGAGTAATAGTTCTCTTCATTCATACCTTCCAATGTGTTTAGTAGGCTTAGCATCAGAACCTTCCAACTGCTATGCTGATGAATTGCAGTGTGAATCTTTTCAGAGAAGAAATTGGATTTGGAAGATTTTTCCCCCTATGACATGTTTGTAGCAATCCCTGAAAGGATAAGGAGCATTGATCCCAGCACCATGGTAATACTTTCACTTAGGGATCAAGTTGAAAATATGGACATGTTCCTGGACCTGGGTTTCATGAGATTCCCAGATTGCAGCCATGTCCAGGTTGGCTTTTCATCAACTGAGGGTTATTGCCCAGTTCCCCCCACCTGGATGACGGAACCCTGAGGACTTTGGTGCATGCACTGGTGATCTCCAGGGTTGACTACTGTAACACTCTCTACATGGGACTCCCTTTGAGAGTTACCCAGAGACTGAAACAGACCCATACTGCAGCTGTCAGACTAGTGGGTGTGAGGAAATCTGACCTCATCTCTCCAGTCTTGGTTTGCCTGCGCAGGTTACCTGTGATGTCCCAGGTCACATTCAAGGTTTTGATGTTTATCTATAAACCCCTCCAGTTTGGGACCTCGTTGCTTGTCACAGAACAAGCTGCACCACCATATCCTCTCAGGCTCTGCTTCTCAGTGTTCCCACTCTGAAGGAGGCCAGAAAAAATGTTCTACTAGACGTTGGCCTTCTCGGTTGTGGGACCATCCCTTTGGAATTGGTGCCTAGTCAAACTTACCTCCCTGCAAACCTTTAAGAGGTTGCTCAGGACACTGCTCTTTACAGGGCTTTTGATGTCAACCTCACATGAACTTGCCATCTGCTCTGGCTGTCCAATCATTGGTTGATGTTCTCGGTTTCCTCTTGGGATGCTGGAGCTGATGGCTTTATTTTGTGTTTTATCAACATTAGTATTGTTTTATTTATTGTTATTCTTTGTTTGGGCTTATTGTTAACTGCCCGGAATAGTGCTTTTCACAAATTGGGTGATATAGAAGCCTGAGAAATAAATAAATAAATATGTTAGTGAAAAATGAAATTTTCAACCACACCACATCTCAAGCAACTTTGTTTGGCCCTTCCTCCCTTTTAAAGGAAAAGAGGGGAAAAGAAAACAAAGCAGCAAAAGCACTGCATTCTTGTCACTTCCTGTATCCTGCTCTGTTCTTTGCTTAAGCTACTTCACAGTCTTCAGAAATTGAAAGTCTCCTCCCTCTCCCCAAGGAGGGAGGAAACTTTTATTTTTTTTTATAAAAGACATGTTGCATCAGTGCTGCTTTACAAGGGCTTTAAAACTAAAACCTTTGCTGCTTCTTGTTCCCTTTCCATGAGGGAGCAGGAGGAAGCTTTCAGTATACCCAAGATCGTGAAGTGGCTTAAGCAAAGGGGCAACTTAAATTATCCACTTTGGTTTGATCCCAGCAGTCCCTCATGGTGGAACCAAACCAAACTGGAGTAATCCTTCCTGCACCAGAAATAAATTGTCCCTTGACGAGGGATCTAAAAAGAAGTGGGTAGGTACGGATCAGGAACAGAGAGGTTTGTGATGGCCTGTATGTCACATTGTCATTGGAGAAAGGAGCAAATTAGCCTATCTCCAGACTAGACCAATATGTGGGGCAAATTGCCATCTGATTGCACACTAAGCTTAATGGCTGAATGGGGATTTGAACAGAGAGTACCTGAGTTGTGGTCCAGTACTGTAACCACTGGCTCTCTACAAATGTGACTCTCACACCTCTCCTCTGCTTTAATAGGTGGAGCTAAAGCTTATACCACCATTTCCATTTATTTTCAGTCTTCTGTCTTCAAGTTGCCTCAAAATGCTATTTCTAGATTAGAAAGCATTCTTGTCAGATGCAAAATAAAATGCTAGGTTTTGTGAGTGAGTTTATTCAAGGAGCAAGAATGAAACGGAAGGCCATTCTATGAATGCTCCATGTTCCCTGCTTATTGAAACCTGTTGTATTAGCAGTATGAGACTCGAACTCATCTCCATGACATGTCAGCTTCTTAGATGCAGGTTTTTATATGTGGGGATCCCCTCACTGCATCCTGAAGTCATTTAGACCTAGGTGGGCAATACTGCTGTACTCCGTATCCTTGAACGTTAGCACAAGGCTATTCTTTTGATAATTCAGAAAGTGTTGTTTTCTGGATTTAAACGAGAAATACTTCAGCTGAATCTCAAAAAGGGATTTATCTATGTACATATTTTGTACTTGATCTACCTCCAAAACAACATCATCCTTTTGGTCCAGTTGGCCAAGATTCAGAGATAGCACCATGCATCTAGGGCAACGGTGATGTTATTGAATGTTCTCCTGCCTGTTTAGTGCATTGCATCAGTAGGTTTGTCATACCATCATCTGCAGTGCATTTGAATGTATATTATTACTTTGAGAAAGCAGTGGAATTAACAATGTCTGTAATGTTCTGTTTTTGTCCAAACAAGCCTGGCCTGATGGAACAATTGCTGTGCCTGCAGCAGAGTACAGTATCTGCTTACATGTTGGGAGTTGGGAGGGTGAAAGTCTGCTGGCTAATAATGGAATATATTGGGCCACCTCCCTGTTTACTTATGGTACCATTTGCTCCTCCAAGAAGATCTGGGGATTGTTTTCAATCTGTTCTGAAAAGATGCTGCGTTTTTTTAATGGGCCTTTAAAAATAGTTTTAATTTTGTTTTTAAAGAAACCTTAAATCTGTTTTATTGTCCCATCATTTGAGAACTTTAGTGGGCAGGAAAGAAATAAATACTAAATGAGAAATTATATATTTTGCCTTTCCCTATATTTCTTTACTAAAAAATGATGCTGAATCATTACCACTAAGCAGACGGGCCTGTCCTCTAGTTTTCTCTGTGGCAAAGTTAAAACAAAGTCTTGCCAAGTACTGTGCTTGTATTTCAATCTGTTTATATCTAGGTCACATTTTCCTCCTACCTCTGCACTTAGTTCACTCAGTATTCTCATTCACTGCTTGTTTTTCCCCCTTTAATTAGGACCAAATCATGTATGAAGAACTGCGCCAGTCACTGAGCAGATGACAGCTGGAAGACACCTGAGACTGGTATGGTTGCTTACCATGAGGATTCTTCCTTGATTCTTCCTTCAGTTTCTCTGAAGCCCATTTGTGAAACAGCGCCTGCCCTCAGTCTTGCTTGACCATTGGTCATGGCACTGTTGGACAATTTTCATAAAATATTGTGTCTTCTTGTATGCAGCCATTATTTGGCTGTTGGTCCTTAGCAGCTATAATGGAAACTCACACTCTCTGTTGCCATTTCAATATTAAAAATTTTCTATGGAGAAACAGTGCCTAATTTCCTGGTACTCTGAGACATTTCTATTCTACAGAAACAAAAGCAGACAGGCAGGTACAGTAATAGGAGCCGTGTTGCTATGGAAACAGCACCTTTTACCACCTACTGCTCTATTCATATAAAGTGGACAGGATGAAGGCAATCTGAAGTACAGAAAGGAGAATGGATGTCATGAGTCTGACCTAGCCCATTTCAGCCAAATCATTAATGTGTTTTAAATTCTGTAGATGGGTGTGGTAATCAAGTAGGTGGTTCAGTTTATATGGAAGTGCCTAACTTCAAGATCCTGAGATATTTATTTATTTATTTATTATTTTATTTGTTTGATTTATATCCCGCCCAACTGGTATATTCTGCCACTCTTATGGTAGAATATTCTACCAATATTCTACCACTCATATGCCCTTGAACTTGGGTAATCACTACCAACAAAATATCTGAAGTGAAGTCGGTGTGTTTAAATCCTGTTCTGCCCACTATTAATTTTTTTACGTCATTAAAAGCCATCAGCCATCATGACTAATAGTGAGGAGACCTGGAATTTTGATTGCTACTCAGGTTTCTTTCAAGAATGCCACTCACCCTTAAGCAATTTCTCTTATAAAAGTCAGTCAGCATATAACACATGATTTACGTATGGTTATGTCAACAAAGCCGTATAGGTGTTTGAAAACTCAGCATCCACCTAGGAGTCAAAATAATTTTCCCAGCATCAAATAGAGCACTAATGTTTTGCTGATGCAGAAATCCCTACTGATCAAAGGTTTATTTTAGAAGCCATCTTGGTCCTCTCGTCCCAGAGGTTTGGCATCAAGACTGTTTTCATATGAGAACTTTTACCTCGATATCTGGCCTCGATATCTGGCGGAACGCCTACTCCCACCAAAATCTACCCGTGTCACACGTGCGAGCCAGGAAGTGAGGCTGAGGAGCCTAACGCCGAGGGAGGCCCGGAAGGAGAAGACAAGAAATTGGGCCTTCTCGGCGTTGGCTCCTTGCCTCTGGAACAATCTACCTCCTGGGATTTGCGGAGCTCCCTCGCTGGGTATCTTTAAGAATCAATTGAAGACATGGATGTTCCGGCAGGCCTTCCCACCAGACAATTCCTGATCCTCCTATTCTTTTCTCCTTCTCTGGTTTCCTTTCTTGTAAGCTTTTTACTATTTATGTTGCCATATCTATGTTTATTTTTATTTGCTGATTGTTAGCCGCCTAGAGTAGTCCGAGCTGACTAGATAGGCGGGATATAAATAAAATAAATAAATAAATAAATACAAATTTTGTATTCTATCCAAAACAATGCAGCCAAGAGGTTTCTCCTTTCACTACTTTTCCCATTTAACCTTGAATTATGAGAAGTAACAATCTATACTGTTCATTTCTTGTTGTCATCTAAATATTCTAGCTTTGTGCATTTTTTAATCTTTGTTTATCCACCTTTATACTTACTCGTTGCCATTTTCACCTGTGATAAAGTCACGTTTCAAATGCTTCTTTTTCTTTAATAGCCTGTGTTAGGTAGTTTTCATGCCATACTGTAAACAATATTGTTAATTATCTTCCTGCTTGTGATTACTATCACATCTTATTGAAACACATGGAACAAAACCACATAAACGTATCTCCTGCTTATTTTATTAGAATTTAATCATGATTGTAGCTATATTGACTGTTGGTTGTCGTGGGTTTTTCGGGCTGTTTGGCTGTGTTCTGAAGGTTGTTCTTCCTAACATTTCACCAGTCTGTGGCCGGCATCTTCAGAGGACAGGAATAGCACTCTGTGCTCTCTATATTGACTGTTCTTTGCAGATTTCTTTCTAAATAGATAGGCTACAGATACAGTTATTGTGAGTACTGTAATGGAGTCAAGCATTTAATGAAACTCTATTTGGGTGATTTTTAAAAATAATCCATATTAAACTTGATTCTATTCAATTTCAATATAACAAGATACGTCTCATCTTCCAGTTCTAGTGAATGAGTTGTGTCATGCACAGCAACAAACCATCTTGCTGAAACATGTTTAGTTGTTCCTGCTTGTTCATCCATAGTAGCTATAAACTGCTTAAAGATGGAAAACAAGGAATTGCAGTACATACTGGAATGACCATCTGGATTATAGTATTGTGCAGAGTGAACAATAGAAGTCATGTTTCACCAGAAAGGAAAATGTCTTGCAATGTCCCCATTTAAATAATTATATTACACTTGTAACATTAACAGCTCACACATTAGGTAAGCAGATGTGAAATACTATTAGCACATAGCTGATCACAAATCCCTTTATCAGCACCCTCTAGCATTAAATTTGGATTTATATCTGCTTTCATTCATGTTTCAAAATCAGACATGGAATTTTTCTTCTTCATGGTCTCTGTGAATGCACACGAATGGGTTTTACTGTGCCTGTGCAGGACTCCTCGGAATCTTCTAGAGCTTAAAAACATAATTAGTAAGATATTCCCCCATGATGTGCATGCTCCACCCTCCTGTAATACCTCATTTCCTTTTAGCCGCCACTGAAATCAGACTTCTTTGGCTATCTCTAGAGCAAACTTGTTATGGTTTTTCGCACTTTTGGCTTGTCTCACGGTTTACGATTTGGATTTCGGACTTGATCTGTCCTTCTGTTTCAGATGTTTCCCTGTGAGTTTTTTTTCTTTTGATTCTCTCCTCACCCCCTTACTCCCCCCCCTTTTATGGCCCCGATGGGCCCATTCAAGCGTTGTAGCTTGTGTGCCAATAAAATTCCTCTCGGACAGCCACAGTTGCTGTTTGTTTTGCCTGGGGGAACAACACCAGATGTGCTCCTGCCCAGAGTGCAAGAGATTGACCAGACCTGCCCTTAAGCTTCGTTTGCAGCCTCTTCGGTCTTTTCTCTGGGAGAAATCCCTGAGGCCTTCGACCTCAAGATTACCATCTACTATGGAGTCTACCTTAACAACAGTCCCTCAGTATGAACCAATAGACCAACCCTCAGCTCCCGTCACGCCGTCACCTAGGCATAAGTCTTCTTATAAAGCTCCCAAATCGAAACACCCATCGGCCTCAAAGTCACCTTCGGTCTCTGCTAGTGATCCTTCTCCTAAGAAAAGGAAGGACATTGATAAGCAGAACGAAGCAGTCCTCTAAATCAAGTTGTTCTACAGAACCTCCTCCAGCCCAACTATCACGTCCATCGCCAATCCTTGAGGAGTCATCAAGGGAGGTACCCAACCCGGACTCCCAATCAGAAGTGGATGACTTGATGCCGCTACCTCCAACTCAGACTCCAGAGTCATCGTTGATGTGAGAGCTTTTACAAATGTTGTATTCTATCCAAAACAATGCAGTCAAGAAGTTTCTCCTTTCACCACTTTTCCCATTTCTCTGAATCATGGCCAGTCAGAGGCTAATGTTATCTCCAGCCCAGCCTCCGCCCATTCTAGCCCTATGTCGGGCAGGTAACTGTTATTCAGCTCTCAAACTTGGAAGTTTTGGCATTGGCTTCTCCTCTGTGTAAACGTTTGGCTAACCGGTGCCATGTTTCTCCACCGGTTCAATCGTCTAGGCATCAGGATGTTATTTACATCCCTCGGCACTCTCGATATTGATACTTGGCAGATTATCAAGAACTCCATTATGATGAGCATGATCGGCATCAATACTCTTATGGCAAGATTGATCCTTACTACAACTCTTTCTACCAACCAAAGAGGGTGCGTTGCGCTTATGCTTCCCCCTCTGACTCATCTCCATCGCCTTCTCTGCCTCGTCATCAACACCGGGACTATTACCGCATCGATCCTGGTTTGTCTGTCCCACACAGGCCAGCTGTTAACCGTTGTTCATAGCAACTTGACAGGATTCTCAGGCATGAAAATGCTCCCGGCTTCGGTACCACAGCTGAGTGAGTCTCTTGCTCGAGTTCCCTCTTTATCTCTTCAGGTCTCTACTTCTCGCAAGGTCCTGGCTCCACCAGAAAGTGTTCCTTCGGTACCAGTTCCCTGGGTTGGTGCTTCCACGTCAAGGACTCACCACTGCTCGCCCTCTTTACCTCCTTCTTAAACTAGAGGTTCTTTGGTTTCTTCAGTCTCAGATTTTCAAGATCTGCTCTCTAAGGCTTCTAGGGAGTCTCCTTTGAATCTTCCAACCCCAATGGCGGATAACCATCCCCCCTCCATCCGAGGATTTCACTTATTCACAGTTGATACTCCACATGACCTTATTTTTGGAGCTCGATATCTAGCAACCTCCTCCTCCTAAGCAAGGTCTCATCTTTGACGACATCAATGAGGAATCACCTCCCTTGAGTCTTGCTTTCATTCCAGCTATGCTGGACCTTATTAAGGAGTCATGAGATAAGCCTGCTACTTCTTTACAGATTTCCAGGCGTGTCGAATTTCATTACAGAACCCACTGGAATGACACTGGTTTTCTGGTGCAGCATCCTTTCCCAAATTCTGTTACTGTGCAGTCTAACCAGTCTTGGGCTGGGAACCGCTCTACTGTCACACCTACGAACAGGGAAGGTAGAAAACTGGATGTCTTGGGCTGTCATCTCTACTCTCTTGCATCCTTCGTAATGCAGGTATCGAACTATCAGGCTGCCATGGCGGCATATCAGAGGTAACTGTGGAACAAGATTCTCCCAGTCCTCCAGGCTTCCCCTGAGGATGTTAGGGCTGAGGTTCTCAGTACACATCTAGAGGCATCTGTTTTGGCTAAACAGCAATGCTTGGCCTCTTGACATACGGTGGATGCTGCTTCTAAGGCCATGGCTTCTGCTATTGGCCTCATGAGACACACCTGGCTCTGTTTAGCAGGGATCACCGATAATGCTCAGTCCCACATAGAGGACCTCCCATTTGATGGGGTTGGCCTTTTTAATGAGAAGACGGACGAGGTTATGGACAACCTGCATAAAATCTGCAAAACAGCCTGCTCCTATTCTACTTAGCAGCCTAGATTCCACTGCAACCAGTGGCATCACCTGTTGAACTTCCAGCAACCATACCACC